CCTCTCCGCAACTATCACACAATTTTCATCATACTTTCATCTGGAACAAATGGCAGGACGACAGAGAAAAACTTCAATAGGCTTTGTACTAACAGGCAATACAATTTTTTCAATTCAGGAGGATTTCCCCTGTAACTCACAGTTTTCCGTTGTAAGGTTTCTTATTGCCACTTTCACCACTGCCAGGGGAATCCTTTCCTCTACCATGGGCCTGAACCAGAGGTTTCTCCTGGCACTCTCTCTGTCCAATACCAAGATTTTGGATTGCCTTGAGATCATGTTGAGGAATGCTGGTGAGGGTGGTTGGCTGCGGAGGAAACTCACTGCTATATAGTGATATTTCTTTTGTTTGTTTGTTTTCTTCTTTGTTTTCTTACTTTGTTTTCACTCTTGTTGCCTAGGGTGGAGCGCAATGGCACAACCTCAGCTCACTGCAACCTCCACCTCCCGGGTTCAAGAGATTCTCCTGCCTCAGCCTCCCAAGTAGCTGAGATTTCAGTCATGTGCCACCATGTCTGGCTAATTTTGTATTTTTAGTAGAGATGGGGTTTCTCCATGTTGGTCAGGTTGGTCTTGAAGTCCCAACCTCAGGTGATCCACCCACCTCTGCCTCCCAAATTGCTGGGAACACAAGCATGAGCCACTGTGCCCGGCCCACAGTGATATTTCAAATTCAGATCTTTTCAACCACCCTACTACTCTGATTTTCAGTCCTTACATAGCTCCCCAACGTGTTGTGTTTAGGATTTTTATCTGCATTCATTGGGAGAGAAAGTATGTACTGTGTTTACTTGATCTTGAAGGTTTCCTAACTTAGATCCTACCTAATTAGTATATTTTTATAGCGTCACTATGCATGCTAGTTTGGTACAGGAGTCTCTGTGTCTGGGACTAAAACAAATCAGCCTTAACTATAACTTTGCAGACCCATGGACTTATTGTACATATTCTACATTATACAAAGCCCTAAAGATAATTGAGTACTTGTTTTTGTGGAAATATAGACTGAATGGGGGTCTGAACAATGCAGCACCCAGACTCACTCAGGTATGTCCTAGCATAATCAATTAGAAATTATTTGGAAATGAGTTTTTAATAGCAGCTATTTCTAATCCTGAATATATGCACTGCCTAAGGGTTTATCCTGAACATAATTCTCCAAATAAATTTCAACCTTAACATCCTGAAGTTCATGGAAAACACAGCCAGCTGGGCAAGAGTATAGGCTAACAAAATGCCCCTGTAATGCTCAATTTATGAAAGGCATAGTGGTAATAGCAGGAATAAACGGCTTAGGAACCATTCTAAAATGTTTGAATAGCTAGAATTCTCCAAAGTGGAAATTTAAACTTAAAATTGTACTAAAATACTATACTAATAATATATTTTTAAAAGAAATGATGAGAGCTATGTTTGTCATAATATAACCACATCCCTAAGGCAGTAAAAAATACTAAACTTAAGCAAGTATCTATAATTCCCATGAGTAGTTATTATCTTATGACAACTATGCACTAGATTCACTTTGCTTCTGTAATAGATGTCTATATTATGATAGAAAATGTAGCATAATTTTCTAGAAGATAAAATCAGTTTGACAGCAGTCTCAGTTTGTTTCACATGAAATAATCTAACATGTAAAATATTTTCTAGCCAACTAGGGTACTGCTTTTAACTTTTCTCATTTATAAGTCAGCATCACTTTGGAGACACAAAAACCTGCTACTGGGCTTAATTCACGGGGCCCTGTGAACTATCAACCCAGAGTTGACAAGACACTCATGTTAATGCTTTATGATATATGTCATTTCACAAAATTGTATAGTACAATGTGAAGCTAGAATAAGCAAAGCATCACTTAATTATTTGTCTTTGGAGAATAAAATAGGTGTTTCATCCTAAAGGTCATACAATTTTGCTTTCATAGTAATATTCTGTAAAGTTTTTCATTATTTTTGGATTATGTGAGGATTCCTATTTCTAAATTCTAATTTATTTTATAAAGTTTGAGGGGATATGTATTTGGTTTAGGAAAACTGATATGGCTTTAGGTATTTCAAACTGCCAGGGATATAATATAGGGAATTACAGTCTTAAAATAATGTCAGAAATGTTGGGGTAAGAAGGTCAAGGAATCCATAACCACTGTTCAAGTAATCAGGAAGTGCAGATATCACCAGGAGCCATTGAATAAGATGAGCCGCCTGCAGTCTCCAGCTGGGGGATTTAAAGAAGATTCCCATAAGCTACCAGCAAACCTCACATCTGTCATCTGTCAAAGCCAATGTGCTTACTCACTAGGCTGCAGGGGGCAAACCTGGCTTCTATTTCACTTTCCAATTCTTTTTTTTTTTTTTTTGTGGTTGTCTGTTTTAGACAGTTTGCTATATGAATATTATTATTATTTTTAAATGTTGGATTATAACAACTATCAATATGTCACAGAGTTTGTAAACACACATTTGGGGAATGATGCATTTTCCATATACCATGGTTTATTTCTCCCTACTATTATTTTGTTTTCTTTTTATTGCATTTTAGGTTTTGGGGTACATGTGCAGAACATGCAAGATAGTTGCATAGGTACACACGTGGCAGTGTGATTTGCTGCCTTCCTCCCCTTCACCCACATTTGGCATTTCTCCCCAGGCTATCCCTCCCCAGGTACCCCCCCACTGTCCCTCCCCTATTCCCCCCAATAGACCCCCGTGTGTAGTGCTCCCTTCCCTGTGTCCATGTGTTCTCATTGTTCATCAACCGCCTATGAGTGAGAATATGCAGTATTTCATTTTCTGTTCTTGTGTCAGTTTGCTGAGAATGATGTTCTCCAGATTCATCCATGTCCCTACAAAGGACATGAACTCATCGTTTTTGATTGCTGTATAATATTCCATGGTGTATATGTGCCACATTTTCACTTTCCAATTCTTTACACAAGTGTCTTTTAACGGCAGAATTTAAACTGGAAACTTTCAGGCAAAAGAGCTTTCCAGCCCCTGTCATATAGTCAAATGCTTATAAAGGAGGAAATTGTCATGAGTACCAACAGGCAATAACCTGTCACTCAGCATTTCTAAACACCCTTCCACTCATAATTAAACGTAAAAGATTAGCCCTGCTCCAAATCTTTGCTTGCTGTACTAGTTTTCAGGGGATCCTGTAACAAAGTGTCAAAAACTGGGTTGCTTAAACAACAGAAATTTCTTGTTTCATAGCTCTGGAGGCTAAAATTTCAAGATCAAGGCTAGGCACAGTTGTTTCCTTCTGACAGATATGAGAGAGAATTTGCTCCATGCCTCTCCCTATGGTCTTCATATAAATAAAGCTTTTGTAAGTCAACAGAAGAAAGGGTTGTCAGAGCACTTTCACAAAGGACACACATCTATGTCCAATGTCAATGTCTTTTTCAGTGAGACAAAACCATCTACAATGAAAGCCATCTACAATAAGTCCCTGCCACCTATGTGACTGTTCCCCTGAGAAACGATGCCATTTTGGACATTATTTGATGTCCAGATTGATCTCTGCTTTTGGATATTGGGGTCACTTCAGCCTTTGAGAGGAAAAATGTATTTTAGTTGAATCTATACAAAGACTTCCACTCCTAACCACATATTGACTTTCGTTCATGAGTTTATTGAGCATATGCTAGGGTACTGAGAAAGATGCTAACTGCCTTCCACAGAATGTCATCTTTCTCACCTGATTAGCAATGGCCTCATCACTGTCGAGTGAACATTTAGATGGGACATTAATCATTTACACAGTTCACTTACCAAGATGCATGTTTATGCAATCCTCTAGTTTTGTTTTCTCTAAACTTCCGGTCATTTAGCCAAATTATTAGCCATGACAAATGAAGCAATGTTGAGCTACCTACTTGAATGCTTCCTCATTAGGAAAAATGGACATCAGATATACATTTTAGAATTTCTGCTTTAGAAGGGTTCACTTTCTCACTTTCTATTACACTAGATCAAAGACTTTCTAGATTAATGCAGCAGTTCACTTCTAGATGCTAACAGTTTAAGTGGATTCCAAAGAATTACTGAAATCCCTGAAAATAGGGCTCTTTTCTTTGTTATTTCTTTTCCCAATTTTGTTGTTGCAGTTGTTCTAGTGGTAAACTTTATGCTAATAATATAAAGCAAATCAAATCTATATTATAATAAGACCAGTTATTTCTATATTATATGCTGCCACATGTGACTGCTTCCCTGAGAAGGTATAAAATATATTCATATTCATAGATATATCTTGTCAATTTAATTTTTATATATAAAAGTAAATTTAATCTTATTTAAGATTTTTCTCTATTTCTTAAGATGTGGTTTTTTTTTAGACTTTCATTTTAGTTTCAGGGATACATGTGTAGGTTTGTTATATAGGTAAATTGTATGTTGCAGAGATTTGGTCTATAAATTATTTAATAACACAGGTGATAACTATAGTACCCAATAAATAGTTTTCGATCTTCACCTTCTACCACCCTCTACTTTCTGGTAGGACCCAGTATATATTGTTCCCTCTTTTGTGTCCATGAGTACTCAGTGTTTAGCTCCTACATATAAGTTAGAATATGCAGTGTTTGGTTTTCTGTCCCTGCATTCTATGAGTCATTTTTGGAGAAATAATTACTGTCTTTTCCTTTTCTTCTCTTTCCTTCTACCATCTTAATCACAAGCAAAATTTTAAACCTGTTCTATGTAAATTAAAAAAGAACAGTAACAACAATTAAATTTTAATACTTGATTTATCAGCTTTCAATATTATTTTTTTATACCTGGCTATTACCTTTACACAACCAATAAACTTATTCTGATAGCACATTTTCCCATGTTCCCTTTTGCATGACACCAAAATTGATTTCTACATTGCCAATGCATATAAAACTTAAATATTATTTTGTAATATGTATCAATGTCTTTTTTCTTATTTCAACAAGTAAATAAAATGTAAATTTACTCAAAATATTAAGTAAATAAATTCAATGCTCTCACCTTGGCCCTGGGATAAGATTTCTCCAATGAGTTCTTGTTTGTCTGAAGTTTATTCTGTAGTACAAGATTGGCAACATCTTTCTGTAACTTGACAGGAAATATTTTAAACTTTGTGGTTTATATGTTACTATTGCAGACGCTTAATACTGACATTGTAGTGCTTAAGAAACCATAGAAAATACATAAATGAATAAAAGTGCTGTGTTCCCCAAAAATATTTATATAAAAAAAATACAACAAGGCAAAAAGGTGAGCCATTCTGGACCCACTGGCCTTAGTTTACCTATACCTACACATTCGTCAAGCTAAGTTAATAAAAAAATATGTTCATGTATATTTGTAACTATTTGTTCAAGACATTTATTCTTGAAATCAAGCTTAGCTGAATATTGGTTTGCTTACACTGGATATCTTTGAAAATCTTAAAATAATATTGCATACTATTTCCCCAAAGTTAAATTTTAGTGTTGATAAGATCTGATGTCTATGTGAATGTTTCTTTTGAAATTGCATTGAACTCTTTGCCTGAAAGCATAATATAAATTTCTTTATTAATATCCAAATTATGTCTCTTCTAAGATGTAATTTGAATTTGCTTGTCCTCAGCTAGATTTTTGTAGGCATACATTTTGTTCTTTCTATGTGCTCATGCAAGTATTTTTTTTTAATTTAAGACTTAAAGTTATAATTTTAAATATGTATTCCACTAAAATTTTTTGGATACAAATTAAAATATATTGGGAAAAATATATATGCTGAATTTTGTTTGTCTTCTTGGTTTTTAACTTTCTTTTGATCTTTAAAAAAACTTTATTTCTGTTTGTGTTAACACTTTTACCCTTTCTGTCATCTCTTCCCTTAAATGCACACTCCATTGTCATTGCTTACTTGTTATTCCTCCTCCCTTATATTTTAACACACTTAAAAAATCTTAGAATAGTTACAAATGTATAGAAAAATTGCATCGTACAGACACTTCCCATGTACCCCCACAACAGTTCCTTAATAATAATACTTTACATTTGTATAGCATATTTGCCACAATTAATGAACCAATGTTGATACATTATTAACTAAAGTTTATACTTTATTCAGATTTCCTTGGTTTTTACCTAATTTCCTTTATCTATTTTGGGATTCCATCTAAGATACCACGTTATTCTTAGGCTTCATATCTCCTTAAACTACACTTGGCTCTGATAGTTCCTTAGATATTTTGATGACCTTAATTGCTTTAAGGAGCATTGTCACAGACTGTCCCTAAATTGCTATTTTTTTATGATTAGACAGGGATTATAGGTTTGGGAGAAATATCACAGATATGAAAAAACATTTTCATCACATCACATCAAAAGTATGTATTATCAACATGATGTATCAGTCTCAATGTTCACTTTCATCCTGTATTACATAGTGCTTGTTAGATTTCTCCACTGTAAAGTTACTTCTTTTCTTCCTTTTTATACTATGCTCCTTGGAAGGAAGTCACTATGAGCAAGTCACACTTAAGGAATGGGAAATTATGCTATCACACCTCAGGGTCAGAGTATCTACAAAAATTATTCAGAATTCTGCCAGGGTCACTTGTTTATCCTGACAAATATATTTATTTATTCAAGCATTTATTTGCATAATAATGGATTTATTGACATTTACTTACTACTTTGGGTTATCATCTAACAATACTTTGTTAGGTTCAAATTATTTCAGCTTTGAGTATTGGCTACTTTTTCAGTTGGCTTCTGAGTCCCTTTGGCATGATCTGTAATTGTGTGTGGGTGTGTGTGCCCCCACATGCACGTGTGTGCATGTTATTACTTGTTGATATTTTCAGATGTTCTAGGCTCATTTTACATATTTCCTGTACAAGCTCTGGAATCAGTCACTTTGTTTCTCCAAAAAGAACTGGTTTCTTTTATTGCAGAATGGCATTAGAAACCAGACCTGAGCTCTAGATATGCTTGTTGCTGCTGGGGTGTCCTTGCTTCTCAGAAAACAGTGCAAGGCAATGTAATTGTTTACATGTTTTTGTTTATATACACATATCTGTAATTATTTTATATATATCTTTGTGTATATTAATATAAAAGAGATTATACTGATTATAATCATAAAAGAGATTATATTGTCTTCAACTCTAATCCGTATCACAGCGATCATTCTAGTTTATCTCTTCGTGTTTGCCTCTAATTTTCCACTCCAGTGAGAAACCTGGCTTCTCATCTACTGTTTATTATATAATTGCTCTGTTCTAGTATGGATATACAGTGGTTTCAAAATTTTTAACCCACCCCTCATATAAGACAACTTTATTGACTATAAAACATTGCAGTGGAGTAATGGTAAGGAAATCAAGCAACCTTAAATATCTCAGCTCTATAAGAACATATTCTATTGCAGAAGACCTTCCTATGAAGATGTGGAATGAAATACAGGACACTGAACTAATACTTGGACTTTGACATGCATTTCTGTAAGAATTTTCTCTGCAGTGCAAGTTATCAAACTAAAGCTACTCTATTTTCCAAATGTGTTCCAACAGAAATCCTTCATAACTCCTAGTATGGTATCTTAATAAAGAAGAAAGTGCTTTAAACAAAAAAACACTGTTGATATACATTTCCTTTGTCTTTAGTGTTAAGGACTTAAAAATTTCAGTCACACCACCTGCCTTTTCTTAAGTGATATTGTATCAAAATTTATAGTATAGACCCTTTGGTTAGATTCAGAAATTAAGCTTAAAATTATTCTTTTTTTTTTTTTTTTTTTTTTTTGAGACGGAGTTTCGCTCTTGTTACCCAGGCTGGAGTGCAATGGCGCGATCTCGGCTCACCGCAACCTCCGCCTCCTGGGTTCAAGCAATTCTCCTGCCTCAGCCTCCCAAGTAGCTGGGATTACAGGCATATGCCACTATGCCCAGCTAATTTTTTGTATTTTTAGTAGAGACGGGGTTTCACCGTGTTGACCAGGATGGTCTCGATCTCTTGACCTCGTGATCCATCCGCCTCGGCCTCCCAAAGTGCTGCGATTACAGGCATGAGCCACTGCGCCCGGCACAAATTATTATTTTTAATAAAGTTAATTCTCTTTTAAAAACATATGTTCAGATTTATATTTCATACTCTTTTATTTTATTGATAGCAAATGTTACCACTTATTGCCTCGATTTATTATGTTCTTTCCTGGCTTTCATCATCACTGCATTTTCCTATAAAAATTTTACACTGTTAGTTTGTAATTATCAGCTGCTATGTGGTTTACTTCTATCCTGTATACATTGATAATAGGAAAATTTTATATTAGGTTTAATTTTATGTTTTTATTATATATGAGGTAATTTGATAATTACATTGAATTCCACTTTTTTCCCCTGTATTTAAATTAGGTAGAAATTTTCTCTTGAAATGAAATAGGGTTAAGAAATTATCTATCTTAGTTTCCTGGTTTGAATGTTTCTTCCTCTGTCTTTATAAATGAAGAAAAAACATAGTGCATTTCTAGGGAAGCACTCCTCCGTCTTTCAGAGTTAAGTCTGAAACTGTGTTTTTTGTTTCTGTTCCTTCATTTCAACACTAGATTCTACATAACTTTTCAACTGAGATAGTACTTTCCGTTTTTGGTTATCATTGCTGTTATGATAATTTCTGAGATCTGATTCTTCTGGGCTTCTCCTCAAATTTATTACAATTTTGTTCCAGTATTTTCTTATTTCTGCTCTGCTTTGCTTGTTTCCACTAAACAGAAGACTTTCTGGTGGTCCTATTGTTCTTAAAGAAAACATTTGGTTATGAGTTTTATTAAAAATAAAACATTTTTGGCCCTCTTTTTTTAGTATATATGTACAGTTACAGAACCTCTGGCAACTTTTTCTGTGATTGTGCTATTGTCCTAAGATGATTCTTAGGGGGAGAAATCTTTTGGAAAAAATTATTTGTAGGAAACTTTCTATCTCCTTGACTTTCAGCATAATTATCTACTCATTTTCACTTGTGCAGTTCTTGCTGTTAGTAATTTAACCAGTTAACTTTTTCCATGGTTTTTGGTAAATTTGTATTGCTGCTAACTATGACCTAGAGTCTCCTTTCCTTCCTTCTTCTTTCCCTCCTCTCTCATCTCATCCTTCTCCTGTGATATAGTTCTTCTTTTGTGATTTTCAATGCTTCAGTAGTTTCACAAGCAGTTTTGGAACATATTATTTAAAAATATATTTTACCAAAATTACATCACATGAAGTTCACAGGGAAAGCCATTCTGGTTATGTTAGACATAAACTTGATCATCCTGATATACCTTCCTTTCTCACTGCATGTTTCTTAGTAGCATTCATGTCTGGTTAAAAAAGAAGTCTTGAACTGGATAGAATTGTGGTATTTTGAGATACGTTAATTGCACTTTTAAATAACTGGTTATGAATGTTTAGTACTTCAAAATGCCTCAAGTTCTAAATATTCTGACCTAGATGTTATCAAAAACACCTAAGTAGTTAAAGCAAAGCAAGTTCCAAGGGGAGGGAACAAGGTATCTTATATTTTTATTTGAACTCACGAACACCAACCTATTTAATTAGCCAACCATAGTAATAGTAAATAACTCAAATACTAGGGAGGCTAGAACTCAATTAGTTTTGTCATAAGACAGGTTATTATATTTACAAGTTTTGGGGATGCCTTCCTTCATAAACTCACCTACTCCATTAGTGCACTCATTCTGTCCCTGATCTTATGTGTGATGTAGTAAATCTGCCCTCTCACTTTTTGGAATCTAATGTCTCCATTATTATATATATCTTCCTATTTTGTGTTGATCCCTAGGTCCTTACCCTTTTCATGCTTTTTGTAATTATCATCATACTTCTCTTGATACGTTCAAACTAATGCACATTAAATTTGGTATTTACAACATCTTTTCAATTTGATTTTGAACAACCATTGTCAACTCAAGTGTCATAAAAAATGATCAGAAAAGTTTTGTATTTATCCTTTGATACACTTCTGAAGTTTTTACATGCCTAGCATCTCATTCTTCTTTTAAATAATTTCTTCTATTGACATTTAAATCTAAATCTAATATCCTCTGAATATCCTTTC